TTGCTAACTGTTGGGCTACATGGACCATATTTCTGGTAGATTATGATAGGATTAAACTACACAATTGTTTACACTACGCTTCACTTCTCGCAAATGAGCACTCCAAGGAATTGGACTTATTTTTGCATTGTATACAGTTCAGAGACTCGGAAACCTTGATTACAAAAGGCCCACACATAAATGGACCCATCACCGTTGTCCACGTTTATAAATAACGCAGTGAAAAGAACCAGGAGAGCGACAAGAGAATGGAGTAAGAACAAAATGTAGGAAGGCAACAAGGTTCCATGCTGAGTCAAAGAACTGGATGGAAAGACATTGATTTTTCTTGCACGAAACACAGCATTGTAGTTCTAAACAGCTACCAAACGGATAAGAATAAATTAGTTTTGTCTGGCTGGATAGTGATGGCCTGTTGCTGGGATAACAGTCACAATCAAAGGCTTAATAGAATGATAGAATAGAATACCAGAATAACAGCGTTGGATGGGACCTTGGAGGTCTTCTAGTCCAACCCCCTGCCTAGGCAGGAAACCCTACACCACTTCAGACAAATGGCTATCCAACATCTTTTTAAAACCTCCAGTGTTGCAGCATTCACAACCTCTGGAGGCAAGTTGTTCCACTGATAAATTGTTCTGTCAGGAAATTTCTCCTTAAGTTCTAAGTTGCTTCTCTCCTTGATTAGTTTCCATCCGTTGCTTCTTGTCCTGCCCTCAGGTGCTTTGGAGAGTAGCTTGACTCCCTCTTCTCTGTGACAGCCCATTAAATATTAGAATCTCTTATTTTTATAGGTTAATTGACCCATATCCACATGCAATTGTTCTTTTATTTGCTGAAAATTGGCAGCAGATAGGATGGAGGGTTGAAGTTGTACTTAAAGTTAGGGCTTGCAAAATTTTGAATCAAGCTCTTCAGGTTTTCCCAGGAAAGACTTTTCAGTTGTGTAAAGAAAGCAAGTTTAGTCAAAGCTCTCTTGTTCTACTCTTCAACCAGGATCAGTTTTGATGGACCTACCCATCAATAATAATGGAGCTTCAAGCCATGATGAAAAGGTTTAACTATCAGAGCTTTCTTGTTCTACTCTTCAACCAGGACCAGTCTTGATGGACCTACCCATCAATAATAATGGAGCTTTTCAAGCCATGATGAAAAAGTTTGACTACCAAAGTTCTTTTGCTCTACTCTTCAACCAGGACCAGTCTTGGTGGACCTACCTATCAATAATCATGGAGCTTTAAGCCGTAATGAGAAGATTTAGCTGTCACTTCAATTTCTTACAATGCTTCAGAATCATGGAATTTCACGGGCCCATCTGGCTTGGAAATTCCCAGGATGTCATCCCAACAGATGGGCAGAACCTCAGATGGAAGGAGGTCTGCTCTAACCTGTGTGTTACCATGCTAGGATCTTGTTATGCCATAAGGCAGGCAGCGCCTGAAAGACCATACTGCGATCTTCCTTTGCGCTTCTGTCAAAGCTGCCGATAATTCATATGCAAATGTATTCAGATTTCATTAACACACTCACATGGACTTGGGATTTCTTTAACCAGATGGCAATCCTTTTAAGGAAATCTTTCAAGGAAGTTCTCCTGTTGATTTACAAGGCCTGTAGATCTGCCAGGCCCAAGGGTTGCTTTTTAGGTCTGTGCAGCCATCTGTCTTCTAGAAAGTGTCAGTCCTTTGAGGAAGTCCAGACAGGAAACCAAAACTAGGAGCACTAACACTAAATTTATTGCCAGGTTACAGTTACAGGATTGTGCGAGTTTGAAAGCCCCCATCCCCTACACTTCCTCCCTTTTGCTTTCTAGGGAACTGGGGTGTGTATGTGTCCCTGCTGAGATTCTTTCCATTCTCCTTCGTTCTGAAATATCTCTTGTCTGACTATTCTTAACTGCAAGGCCTTCCTCCTTTTCCCAAGGTTATTCTCACAATCTGTTTTATGCCCAACAAACAACAGGTGTTTGCACTTTGGGAAGCTGGCGATGTTTATGACCAGGTAGGCAAGAAAACTGGAAATATTCTCCTGGCAAAAGTTTTGCACGTTAAAAGTTGCTCTCTAACTTGGAAGTTAGAGAATCTTCCAAGTAGGAATCAGGTGCTCCAAAACAGGGATGTCCAACCTTGGCAATTTTAAGACTTGTGGACTTCACCTTCCAGAATTTCCAACATGCTAAGCGACACGATTCTTAAAGTGTTTTGCGCCTTTTGCCACAGTTGTTAAAACGAATCATTCTCGTTGTTAAGTGAAGCACAAGGTTGTTAAGCAAATCCTGCTTTCCCCATTGATTTTGCTTGTTGCGGAAACAGTTGCTAAGTGCAACCTACTGCCACATCCCATTTTTCAGTGTCATTGTACCTTTGAACAGTCACTAAAATGAATGATTGTAAGTTGAGGTTTAGGGTACTTTCATTTTTCCAAAGCTCAGTACAAAAACAGTTAATTTTGCTTCAGATTAGAAAATGATTTTTTAACAAAAAACAAAAAACAAATGAACTTCTACATGTATTTAGCCTTGCCATAATTACATTGCCCTGGTCTGCATTCCCAAAGGACCATATGGACTTTTTACAGCTGGAAAAGCTTTGTGCTACTGTGAACTCCACGCACATTCCTTTTAATTACATATGTGCCTGCTGAGGACATATGATGAAGTCTGGCAAACTAATTTGCTACCAGCATGAGACCAAGAATAAATACTAAATATTACACTCCAGTTGGTTTTTCTCTACGCTATCCATTATCCCTAGAGACGGGACTAAATGAAAATTGCCCCAGCCGTTTAAATATGCCAAGGGAAAGGAAAAGCAACAGTAATGTGAACAAGGCAGAAAATCATTTAAAAAACAACAACCCCAAAGGTATCCAATTCTGCTTTGATTTCTTCTTTCTTCTCCTGTTCCAAAGTGATGAGAAATTTGGGGGATGGAGGTTTGGTGAGATGGAACTTTAGAGTTGCAGGAAACCATTGGCAAACAGGAAGACAGATTCTGGTGGACCTTTGGCCTGCTTCAAAGACATTGATTGTTCAAGGTCAACATTAGCAGAGGTCCTAACATGGAATTAACTGGGAAAGTTTTAATCCCTGTCAATTCAAAGCCCCTCAAGTTCTTTTCATATTTTTTTTGGGGGGGTCCCTTTGAGTCAATCTTGAGATCACCTGGACAGCTCCCTGCAGTTTCTTTGACAAGGCTTGAAAGGGGTTTGCCATGACTTCCTTTCTAAAGTTTGAAAGAGAGGGACTTCTTTGAATAAAGTATTTTTTTTCCCACCCAAAAAGAGACTGACTGTGACCAGCTAGCTGTAGGCCCACCTCCCGGTTTCTAGCCGGATCTCTTAGGGCTGCACCAAACTCTCTTCCAAATTCTTGACCAGTTTTTAAAATTCAAAAACAAAACGCAACTCAGTTTTAATTTCTGGCTACTTTTGAGTACAGCTGTTTATACTGGATACCTTCGGCCTCCACTTTAGCAAAAAGCAGGTACGGGTCACCAATGGGGTGATTTCATCGTCCCAATCGATTCCTGAATAGATTGTCCCTCCCAAAGCACCTTCCCCTTACAAACTCGAGTTTCTCTGTTCCCTTTTAACGCAGGGAGGAGGATGACCTTGAAGAAGGAATGGTTGTATCTCCAGGATGGAGTACAACTTGAGCCGGGGCTGCAAAAGGGGTGAGATTAAGAACCAAGGGGACAAAATTCTGTAACTCCTCTAGGGTAGGGCTGTTGTCTACCCCACAACTTAAAAATCATAGGGCTGGAAGGGACTTTGAAGATCTTCTAGTCCAACTGTGAGCAGGAGTCCTTGGACAAATCATCCTGGACAAATCCTTTTTTGACAACTTCCAGCCATGATGCACTCACATCCCCAGAAAGAAAGGTGTTCCATTGGTTAATTGTTCTTACTGTCAGGAAATTTCTCATTAGTTCTGGATTGGATCTCTCTTTAGCAAGCTTCCACCCATTCTTTCTTGTCTTCAGGAACTTGGAGGAATAAGTTCACTCCCCTCTTCTCTGTGAGAGCCCTTTCAAGTACTAGAAGACGGCTATCATGCTACCCCTAACCTTTCTCTTTGTTAAACATACCTAATTCCCACAACCATTCATCATATGGTTTAGCCTCCAGACCCCTCATCATCTTAGTTACTCTTCTCTGCATTCTTTCTGGGCCCTCGGCATCTTTTTTTGCATCATGGTGACCGGAACTGGATTTGAACTGCACCCTTTTTCCTCCTTCAACAAGCATTATAATGTCAGGATATTATCCACTCTAATCTGCAATGATTTTTGTTCAAGGCACAAACCTAAGATAGCAATAGCTATGGCACTTAAGGCTTATCTACCGCTTCACAGTACTTGACAGCTCCCTCTAAGCAGTTTACAGAGTCAGCCTCTTGTCCCGCAACAATCTGAGTCCTCATTTTACCCACCTCGGAAGGATGGAAGGCTGAGTCAACCTTGAGCCGGTGAGAATCGAATTGCTGGCAGTCGGCAGAGTTAGCCTGCAATACTGCATTCTGACCACTGCACCACCTCTGGCCCTAGGAGCCCAGTATGGAAGGCTGAGTCAACCTTGCACCGGTGAAAATCAAACTGCTGGCAGTCGGCAGAGTTAGCCTGCAATACTGCATGCTGACCACTGCACCACCTCCGGCCCTAGGAGCCCAGTATGGAAGGCTGAGTCAACCTTGAGCCGGTGAAAATCAAACTGCTGGCAGTCGGCAGAGTTAGCTTGCAATACTGC